CTTTAATATTTTCCATTTTTCATCACCAGCTTTGAATAGCGCTGTGGGAGGAAATCTGAGAAATAACTAAATGAACACTGCCATGAAATGGTGTTCCCTTATTTGTTTCCCTCAGTATATATAGATAACATCAAAAAGTTATAGTGAGCTCTGTTTATGTACATATATATCTGTATTTCATTTCTTTTCTTTGTATTTTGTTTCTTTCCTTCTGTCATTAAATGTATAACAAAACCATTATCATATCTGTAAATCTGTGGAAGAATGTGAGACAGTAGGGTAGCCTAGTGGTTAAAGTGTTTGCTCACCACACCAAAGATCCGGGTTTGATTCCCCATGTGGGTACAGTGTGTGAAGCCCCTTTTCTGGTGTCCCCCACTGTGATATTGCTAGAATTTTGCTAAAAGCGAAGTAAAACTAAACACAGTCACTCACTCTCTATGGAAGAGTGTGATCTAAGTTGGGATAACGTGTACCTAATCCTTTTCTTGAGTATATGAGTGAACTACAAGAAATCTATAACATTCATTATCTCAATAATTGCTCATAATGGGACATTTTTAAGTTACAGTTTGTTAGTTTGTTACTTCTGATCAGATCTAGATATGTCAGTGCGTCATATGCCTGTGGTAAGATGTTGGATTTAAGATCAAATACTGTTATCCTTCAGTTTATATGCACCATGAACCAGATGTATTCCAACTTGCTATGTAATGAACTCGTTGGTTTAGCATATATGGAAATAATATAGCAGAAAATCTGTTTCAGATCTTTTTGGATGAATATCAATACATTCACCATGTTACTTGAGTATTATTGTATTGAGACATTGTGTACAGTGCTATCAGATTACAGTAGACAATTGTTCTGGGACTGGCTGCTTTGAGTGGTATTGACCTGGAGCTGAATGCACTGTGTAGATCTGAATGGTGGTACAGATGCAGCAACTGAATGGAGAACAGCTTGTGTTGGCTCCAGATGCTGGTCGGTGGGGTAGCCCAGTGGTTGAAGCGTTCGCTTGTCGCGCTGAAGGCCTGGGTTTGATTCCACACATTGGTACAATGGTGTGAAGCCCATTTCCAGTTTCCCCTGCTGTGATATTGCTGGAATATTGCTAAAAGCGATGTAAAACCCAACTCAACTTCATCAATCTGACAATACAGAACACTATGATGATAAGGTGATTGGCTGTTTAAGTGACTTACTGATTGTTGTCATTATGGGGATCAGTGTGTGAAATAGACACTGGCCTGCTAGCCTGTGGCTAGTAAAAATTCAGTCGGGGCCAGTAAATCTCCACAGTCACTGGCCCGACTGGCTGGTAAATTTTCATGGGATCATTTTGTAAATATATCATTCTCTCTGACTTCTTAAGTTAATACACTTTTAAATCAGGCAAGGTTATGGCCTGATAAAAATGTTCATCATATTAGCAGCTTAATGATGAAACCCATGTCTACATTCAAATTTCGGGCTAGTGAATTATTTTGGGGCTAGTACCTTTTCAGGAATAGCTAGCCTGACTGGCCAGCAATTTTGGAAACTTTTTTTGTGCACTGGGTGATAGGGAGCTGATCTCATCAAAGTTTATGCTCCGACCATCATACATGTACAGAATTATCATGATTATTGCTGAAGTGGTCGTTGTCTGTACAGGTACTACAGACATGTACCCCAGGTACATATATGTATACAAAAAATGTACCCTGAACAAACTCAAAATATAGGAATGTGCCTAGTACCCTAAATGTTGGATGAATCTATAATTCTACAACCCCCTAAATGAATCCAAATGTAGTTGTTTCTGCCCAAGTTATTGCGAGTGGTAATGTGCATCGCGAAATATTCATTACTATGTATGCTGTAATACAACAGTGCCAGTTCCGATCAAGAAAAACACACTATGAGGGATGGACTCGTCCTTGGGTACATTTCTGTATTCTGATTTTGGCTAGGGTACGTTTCTGTACCTGTGCCAACAATGAATCCTTCAGCATTATTATCAAGCATAATGAAATCAAGTGTCCACATGCTCTTGAGTGGGTCATTAATCACTAATGGGGTGTACAGATAACGTTTTTTCAAGCAGATTCTTATGAATGGGCTTGTAAATCAGATCCAAAGGTCTTTCAACCTTCTGCTTGTTTAATCTTGCATACCTGGTGAATAAAATGCTACAAATTTACCATTACAAATTACGAGTTGACAAAATTTATTTTTAGTGAAATATTTGTGAGTAAAAACTAACTTTTACCACCATAAGAATTTCAGAAGGGAAAACAAAGTCAGTTATGGTGTATTATGTTTGTAATTATTGTCTGTTTTGTCCATACTCAGCAATATTGCTGCTTTATGATGGCAGTCTGTAAATAATTGAGTCTGGAACTGACAGTCCAGTGACTGACATCATGAGCGTCGATCTACGGAATTGGAATACGATAACAGGGATCAAAATTGTGCTGAATATTGAATGCCAGTGAGCATAACAGGGAAGCTATTTTGGATGATAACCTAGTATGTGGGTTAGCTTATGGGTCTGGGACATTTGAAGCAGAACTATCCTTGCAGTCATGATAGGGCTCAGGAAATCCAGCTCTCAAGTTTACAGGTTAGACTAACGCTTAGTCTTGGAATGTATATCATTTTGATAAGGAGCCCTATTGAAATGGGAGATTCAGAACCTGAAGAAATCTAGACTTGCTACATTAAGAGCTTTCGTTTGGCAGAAAGGGCTGAGCAGAAGGGAACTAATAGTAATATGTATTTAGGGACTGTTAGACAGAGTAGTCTACAGGATTACATGATGTTTATTGACTTATTATTATTAACAAATTGAAATGACATAATTGTTGCGATGTTGTTAAGTTTGACTGGATCATCAAAAGGTATCGGCACACTTATTTTCACAAAGGCACATATAAATTATCTGTCTGGTAATCCTATGGGACCTATTACAAAATGCATTTCGATAACTGGATGAAACAATTTGTATTTCGATCCTGGATGACATGAATCGGTCAAATCAGCAAGCCTGACCACCCGATCCCGCCAGTCGCCTCTAACGACAAGCATGGGTTACTGAAGACATTATGACATGAAATCAGTTCAGGCCAGTTAACTGACTTCCCTTTGTATACAAGACACTGACAGGCCAGTTATCACATTAATAAAATGACATTAGTACTGTCACAAAAAAAGTGCAGGAAACCCTATATGTCTGTGTGTTCAGCCATGCTGAGTGTCACAGTGCTAGAGTTTAACCCAGCTGTTACTTATGTACATACATCTGCTGTATGTTAACACACTGAGCTTTGATCAATGCTGCGAGTGCACACCTGTCCCAGCATTTACAGGTTCGCTTGTTAGCTGTCTTAAAATAGCACCTTTATTTTCAAAATTGTTTTTAAAACATATCAACATGTAGACTTTATCATTCGTAATCCTGATAAACGATGATGAACTGTGTCATACTTTTAAAGATAATAGAAGCAGAGAGCACTGACAGTTCGAATCAGATGCTTACTAAAGTTCATTAGGTAATTATATAAATAAACACGGGCAAGGGACTCCCATTATGATGTAATAAATCTGAAAGATCTGTTTTCCGCGTGGTAGCTGCATCTTATTGTGAACTACCTGAGGAAGTTAAGCTGTATCATAAATTGTAATGTGAATAAGAAATTGCTTGCTTTTTTGAATTTAGTGCTATGGACGCTTTCCGCTTTTAAAATAATAATGTAAGGCCAGATCAATTTTATTTCTTGTTTTTACGGATTTCTGTCCTCAGAAAACCTTAAGGCAGGAGGGAAAAAAAAAAAAAATAAAAATCACCTGTCATAGATATTTTCCTTTTGAATACTAAAATATTTTATTTTTGGCAATTTATGAAGTGTCTATGGGGAAAAAAAAAAAACGATCAAAAAATATTTTTTTATTTGTAAGTTTACATTTTTCTAATAAAACATGAGGATTTTATTTTTGAACGGGGAAATTTTTTATATATTTTTTCTTATTCTTGAATAAATAATGCAATCGCTGGATCAAGAAACAAGAAATTAAATTGGTCTGACCTAATGAATATATTTAAAAACAAAAACAACTCATTTGGATTTGTACTTAAAATGTTTATGAAAGCTGACTTGATCTCGTCACTATATGGCTGGAATATTGCCGTTTCGATGTGACGTAAAGCCCAACTCAACTCAACTCAACATTTTTTAGGTGATATGCAGTTTTACTAATCATATCTCTAGAACTGTGAAGACAAGAGTACTTTCTTGAAATAAGGAATTTCTCTGTACCAAAAATGGACATTTGATACAAATGCAATATCAACATGGTAATGATTGTCTTAAAGCGTAATGAATATTTTAAGCCTATATTTCATGATGACTTATCAAGACAAGATATCAATTGCTAAGACTTAATCCTGGTTGACCTCATACAGTTTGATAAGACACTGTTCTGGTTGATAATACACTGTTGTGATTGTCAAGACACCATCTTGATTGTGAACACAATATTCTGATTGTCAAGACACTATCACTGTTGTCAAGACATCACTATTCTTGATGTAAAGACACTATCCTTGTCACAGGTATGCAGGGCGTGGGGTAGCCTAGTGGTTAAAGCGTTTGCTTGTCACTACTCGACGACCTGGGTTCTGATTGCCCACATGGGTACAATGTGTGAAGCCCATTTCTGGTGTCCGTTGCCCTGATATTGCTGGAATATTGCTAAAAGCTGCGCGAAAACTCACTCACTCACTCACTCATCCTGATATTGTTGTAATGTTGGTCAAAGTGGCATAAAACCTTTACTCACTCATTGTACCTTTTCAGAACCAGAAGGACTATAAACGGCAACATAAAAAATGTAACAATGCTGTACCTGACCTGAATCAAGACAATGTGATCCCCCAACCCCAAGTAGGAGGGGGACAACGAGCCTTCTGAACACAAGAATCTTGGACCCGTGGCGCTGTCATGAAGAAAGGAATTATGGGCAACTTTGAACCCAAGGAGCCTGAAGCCAGAAATACTCCCTGGTGAGTGAAGATTAAGATAAGTTACCCATGCAGACATTGTTTAATGGCAGATCATTACACCAGATCTTTAGGGCCTTGTCATATGCACGCTGTAGGTGCTTGAGATGTTGGTTTCCAATTTTACGATTGCCTCAGGATAGGGAGAATGTTCACTGAACTATGAATGATAACCCGCCTTATGTAGGTCTGCTTTGTAGATGATCAAATTGGTTTATCAGGATGGATGTTGTTCACTTCCCGACAATGAGTGAGTCAGGCTTAGGAAGACTTCAGTCACCGCAGGTTACCATGGGAATTGATACTGAAATGTTATGTGAGAAATTAAAAGTATACATTAAAGTTCATCTGTTGTTTTAAATATGTTTTAAGTGAAAGATGTCTTTAGAAAATGAGATTAACATATGCATATTTGCATATTATCATGGTCATGACAAGGTCTCTATAGTAATATATTTACAAGTCCGCCATGGTGTGTGTGTGTTGTGTGTGTGTTTGTGTGTATGTGTGTGTGTGAGAGAGAGAGAGAGAGAGAGAGATAGAGAGAGAGAGAGAGAGAGAGAGAGAGAGAGAGAGAGAGAGAGAGAGAGAGAGAGAGAGAGAGAGAGAGAGAGAGAGAGAGAGAGATTGTAATTGACTAATATATATTTAATATTAGTTCCTGCTTGAACAGACATGCATACATGCATGCACACACACATAAGGTCATTGATCTTGAACCCGACATTAAGCCATATTATAACACACGCCACACATACATGCACATGTTCACACACACAAACACACCTCTCCCTATGATGCACACACACACACACACACTCTCCCTATGATGCACACACACAAACACACTCTCCCTATGATGCACACACACAAACACACACTCTCCCTATGATGCACACACACAAATAAACACACACTCCCTATGATGCACACACACAAACACACTATCCCTATGATGCAATACACACAAACACACTATCCCTATGATGCACACACACACTTAAACACACTGGCTTGTCCACAAACCTTCACTGCCCATTCTTCTGCCAGGTGAGATGGGGAGCCTGTATACACTACAATGGAAGAGCAGTCCAAAGTTTCCACCAGACTATTCGAGAGTTTCGGCTTCAACATGATAGCCAGTGACAAGATTCCTATGGACAGAAGCATCCCTGACACCAGGATGGATGAGTAAGTCTCTGCTTCTGATATCTGATTATGTGGATTATGTCTCATATTAAAGAAATCATTTTCTTAACATCAGGATTATTTTGAGAATCCAATCAGAATCAACATCTGAGTTCCAAAACCTTAAGCAATAAGCCATTGTGTGTTTATGCTGAAATTGTTCAAATATTTCAACAAAGACAAATATTTCCATAGTGGTTTCAAGTTTGCGGTCAGCTTGCAATATTACTGATATATTTTTTGATTGCAACATCCATTGATTTTAAACTCAAATGACTAGAATCATATCACAGTGATTGAAGTGGATTCCGCTTCATTCCTGTTTTTGCTATGCACAGGTGCAAGTACTGGCACTACCCTACAGACTTGCCCACGGTCAGCGCCATCCTGGTGTTCCACAACGAGGGCTGGTCCACCCTTGTCCGCTGACTGTGCAATAGCTGGCCATCAACAACTCCCGCCTAATCTGCTCAAGGAGGTTGTCATGGTGGACGATTACAGTGACAAGGGTTTGTAGCCATCTTCATTGCTTCCTAGTCTATCGCTTTAGTCCCTGAGGACCGCCCTCCTTGGTGTAGTGGAGTTAGGAGTGTCCGCCCGAGAGCCGGAAGGTCGCTGGATTCGGATCATCATCATACCAAAAGACGTTAAAATCCGGTACTTGTTGGTCCCTGCCTGGCTCCGCATTAATGGGTACAACAAGGACTGGTCGGCTTCGGAGTCAGTATAATGTGTCAGAGTGGGGTATTCATGCTTCTTCACTGCGTGCATGGTATCTCAGTGGGCTAGCACTATAAAACTAGCTTCAGTCTGGGCTAGTACATGCAGCCACACATACACACGCATGCACATCGTCATATGAGCTTAAATATTCTCAAGCACAACGTTAAACCCAATTTCACCTTTACCTCACCAGCCCCTGAACCATATTATCTCATTTCCACTCAGCACTTTGTGTAATGCTCCAGCAGTAAATGAAGCAAGTCCAGATTTTCTCTGTAAAATCACCATCTCATGAGACAAGGCATCAGATTAAAGTATCCAGAACAGAATTTATCAGAAGTAACCTGTGTTGGTCTTATTAAGTGACGAAAGTAGTATAACATTATGTTTTCATTTTAATGGGCTGAATATTCACCAAAGTGCTACCTTCAAGAATAATTATGCACATTGGTGTAAGTATAACTTCCGCCTTCAATGAACATGATGAAAACAAGCAAGTTTTGTGACAACTACAAACTAACCATATCCTTGTGTTTCTCCAGAGCACCTGAAAGGCAAACTAGAGGACTATGTGAAACAGTTCAATGGTAAAGTGAAGCTGTACCGAATGAAGACAGAGAGGGACTGATCCGAACTCGGACCCGAGGGGCAGAATTGTCCACTGGGGATGTCATTCTGTTCCTGGATGCCCATTGTGAATGTAACAGAAACTGGCTGGTTCCTCTGCTGACACGTTATCAGGCATGACAGGTCAGTATCTTCATGATATCAGATGTATGGACGGCTGATACATGTTGGTGGTGTAACGATGTGGGAGGATATGATAATGATATCCCAATGGTTGGTTGGTTTGTTGTTTTACACCACACTCAGCAATATTCCAGCTATATGGTGGCGGTCTGTAAATAATAGAGTGTGGACCAGACAATCCAGTGATCAACAGCAAGAGCATTGATCAATGCATTTAGGATGCAATGACATGTGTCAACCAAGTCAGCAAGCCTGACCACCTGATCTTGTTAGTCGCCTTTTATGACAATATTTTCAACAAAACTTGGTAGATATATCAAACAGAACCTAAGGTGGTGCCTTTGCTATTTGCAGATTTTTTGCATTTTTATTTTTCCCCCGGCTTTCCATGGAAACGTTTCGACTTAGTCTCAAAAAGGAGGGATTGGTTTCTGCTTCCGCACAACTCAAAGACCGCTCAATATTTTTCAACAGAACTTTGCAGATATATGAGGCAGATCTTGAAGTGGTGCCTTAGCTATTTACAGTTTTTGGCATTTATATTCTTCATGATTTCCATGGAAATGATTTGGTCTTAGTCTTAAAAAAAAAAAAATCAAGCTGAACTTTGAGTAACTGTCAGATGATTTATTCTTTCCAATATGTAGGGACGGGGGATATGTCATCTTGTGATGACTGTTGTTACTTCATCCTGTTAAATCCATTTTCCATTTCATGGGTGGTGGTGGGTAGCCTAGTGGTTAAAGCTTTCGTCAATAATGAAGACCTCCAAGCTGGATTCCCCACATGGGTACAATGTGTGAAGCCCATTTCTGGTGTCCCCAGCTGTGATATTGCTGGAATATTGCTAAAGCGCTTAAAACCCAACCCACTCCATTTCATGGGTGGTTATTAATTTTGTGATTCTTTGCAGTAGTATTACAATCATGCCTCACACTGTAGTACTGAGATAGTTGTCAACTACTGCAATAGTATTGCGATAGTATTAATAAAACTACATGTTTAGTCTTTGTAACAGATAAAATAAAAATATTACTGACAATGTCAGAGTCAGCCATTGCCTTCATGTAGCTCTAAAACATAAAGGGAAGTAACTCTAATGGTACATTGTCATTATGCTAGGTAGTCAACACATAGCAGGTTTTAAACTTGACTGTATAAACTGAGTTTAAGCATTCTTTTGCGCTTTTATTAGTGATTAACTGCAAATACCTAAACTATCAATTGCCCTGCATAATGATCATCAATGCCATCAGTATTTTCTAATTCCTATTGACTAAGAATAAAACGAAGAGTAAACAATTGCATTATGTGAATATTCTGATATATTGTTACATTCTAAATGATTTGTGCCAGACTCAAATCTTTTTGAATCATTTCTTTTCTAATTTCATTGGTGATTCTATTGCTAGAACTGTGATGGCAGTGCCAATAGTGGATGGAATTGACTGGAACAACTTCCGTTACCACCCTGTCTACACCACCAACCATCATCGTGGTATCTTCGAGTGGGGGTTCCTGTACAAGGAGAGCCAGGTGCCCCAGAAGGAGCTGGGCACAAGGGCATACAACAGTGAACCCTACAAGTCAGTATAGGCTTTTTTAGCTCTATACCCAAGTATGACTATGTGGGTGCTGTAAGTCAGTAAAATGTTACAGCTCTGTACCCAAGTATGACCCTGTGTATGCTGTAAGTCAGTACAGATGTATAGCTCTGTACCTAAGTATGAGCCTGTGTGTGGTATAAGTCAGTACATACTTTACCTAAGTATGAGCCTGTGTATGCTGTAAGTCAGTACAGACGTACAACTCTGTACCCAAGTATGATCCTGTGTGTGGTATAAGTCAGTACAGCTCTGTACCCTAGTATGATCCTGTGTGTGCTGTAAGTCAGTACAGACGTACAACTCTGTACCCAAGTATGATCCTGTGTGTGGTATAAGTCAGTACAGCTCTGTACCCTAGTATGATCCTGTGTGTGCTGTAAGTCAATACAGATGTATAGCTCTGTACCCAAGTATGACCCTGTGTGTGGTATAAGTCAGTACAGACTTCTAGTTCTGTACCCAAGTATGATCCTGTGTATGCTGTAAGTCAATACAGATGTATAGCTCTGTACCCAAGTATGACCCTGTGTGTGGTATAAGTCAGTACAGACTTCTAGTTCTGTACCCTAGTATGATCCTGTGTATGCTGTAAGTCAATACAGACGTATAGCTCTGTACCCAAGTATGACCCTGTGTGTGGTATAAGTCAGTACAGACTTCTAGTTCTGTACCCAAGTATGATCCTGTGTATGCTGTAAGTCAATACAGACGTATAGCTCTGTACCCAAGTATGACCCTGTGTGTGGTATAAGTCAGTACAGCTCTGTGCCCTAGTATGATCCTGTGTCATGACCTCGGTGATCTTCTGTGCAGATCCCCGACCCATGCTGGAGGCCTGTTTGCCATGGACAGGAAGTACTTCTTTGAAATTGGAGCATATGACCCTGGTATGCAGATCTGGGGAGGAGAGAACTTTGAACTTTCCTTCAAGGTACACTTTGTGATTAGCTGACAAATAACTTTCATAGTTTATTCTGAACATGTTCTCGACATAGATATAGCATTACAGTAAACTATGGACATATTGTACTCAAAGGGCTGCTGATTTTAGTTCATTAAAGTTGTAAAAGTTGAGAATTTATGAATATCAACTTCTTCATTATCAGGAACATGAGTATATTTTTACTCCTTCATCAGGTGAATGATGAAGGTGAATGATTAATCATCTGATGAAGGGGTCAAAATATACTCAGGAAGGTCGGGTTCCTCACAATAAAGAAGTTGACATCCATAAATTCTTGCCTTTGATGGCTGAAGTTTTGAGAGCTGAAACCAACAGATGTGTTGTGTGGAAGGCTGTTAGAGTTATCTCCCTTGTTGATGGCTGTTATTTCCTATGTGAGCGGAAGCTTGAGTTTCCGATTCATTGATTTTGACGTTCCTGTTTTCCCAGATTTGGCAGTGTGGAGGCTCAATAGAGTGGGTGCCATGCGCTAGAGTGGGACATGTCTACAGAAACCATATGCCTTACTCATTTGGCAAGATCAGTCACAAGATACCTGTTATCAACTTGGTAAGTATGTGGTATGCTGAAAATGTCCAATATTTTATGTTGGTCAAGCAATATCTAACTCACAGTGAAATGTGATTGGTTTGGGTGACTGAAATCAGTTATGTTTTAGGTCAGTTGTGAGTGCCCCATTGGGGAAATCAGACTGGATAGAGCTCCAGTACTGGAGTGGTGATAAGTGAGTGAGTGAGGATAGTTTTGCATGCACTCAGCAATATTCGACTATATATGGCGTCAGTCTGTCAATAATCGAGCCTGCACCAAACAATCCAGTGATCGACAGCATGAGCATCGATCTAAGTGCTATTGGGATACGATCACATGTGTCAACAAAGTCAGCTTAGCCTGACCACTCGATCCCGTTAGTGTAAGCCTCACGACAAGCATAGGTTATTGAAGATCAATTCTAACCCGGATCTTCACAGGTGAGTGGTGATGATGTGTGTGAACTTTATGTTAACAACCTGTGGGAATTCTGGGTTGGAATTGACTTCATCAGCATACGCTTGTCTCTTGTGTTGCTCGTAATATCATTCATTGGTTTGTCTGGTTCACAATTATTATCACCCTTAAAGGTCCGACCAGAATTGGTCTTCCATGCTTGTTGTAAGAAAGCTTACTTAACAGGATCCGGGTGACTTGACTTGCTTTGACTTTGTTGAAGCATGTCATCATATCCCAACCGCGTAAATCATGCTGTTGATCACTGGATTGTCTGGACTTCTGATAATTTACAGACTGTGCCATATAGCTGGAATATTGCTGAGTGTGGCTGCTAAACAACAAACCAACCAGCACTATTATTTTCAGTCCTGCCAAGATGAATGTGAAATATTTTTAGTAATACATGTATATAACCAGCATTTTCTCTCTCATATTTTAATGAGTGACGTGAAGCTTGTAAGCCTGACAGATATTTTAGTTTCCAAATCACCTTACTGTGAGCCTTTTAAATGCTGCTAACAAATAATCATGTTGGTTCCCACTACAGAACTACATGCAGAAAGTGGTGGAGGTATGGCTGGACCCTGAGTTCCGAGAGTACTTCTACACGCTACGAGCCCACTATCCGTGGCTATCCGGGTAAGAGTGACCTCTACCAAGCAGCTGGAGTTCAAGAAGGAGAAGAAGTGAAAGAGCTTCAAGCGGTTCATGGACAATGTGGCATATGAGGTGTATGACCGGGTCCCTCCAATAGAGGTAGGTTGACATTAAAATGTGAACAACTTTTACAGTTCAAGGAGACTATGGTTACATCTGTCTTCCTATTAGTGTTGCTAACCTAATCTAATGTTATTTTAATCCCATGTCATTGTTTCCAGTTCAGTTCAAAGGAACAAGCCTGGCCTTTTAATAAAGCGTCCTATGATGTATACAGTAGTCCTATAGCATCTAATCCTAGCTAGAGTTCAAGAAGCAAGTCCTATGACTCTTGTGTACATTTGTCCTATAACATGTGATCCTTGCTTTACAGTTCAAGGAGAAGCAAGTCCTATGACTCTTGTGTACATTTGTCCTATAACATGTGATCCTTGCTTTACAGTTCAAGGAGAAAGAAGTCCTATGACTCTTGTGTACATTTGTCCTATAACATGTGATCCTTGGCTTTACAGTTCAAGGAGAAGCAAGTCCTATGACTCTTGTGTACATTTGTCCTATAACATGTGATCCTTGCTTTACAGTTCAAGGAGAAGCAAGTCCTATGACTCTTGTGTACATTTGTCCTATAACATGTGATCCTTGCTTTACAGTTCAAGAAGCAAGACCTATGACTCATGTGTACATTTGTCCTATAACATGTGATCCTTTGCTTTACAGTTCAAGGAGAAGCAAGTCCTATGACTCTTGTGTACATTTGTCCTATAACATGTGATCCTTGCTTTACAGTTCAAGGAGAAGCAAGACCTATGACTCTTGTGTACATTTGTCCTATAACATGTGATCCTTAGCTTTACAGTTCAAGGAGAAGCAAGTCCTATGACTCTTGTGTACATTTGTCCTATAACATGTGATCCTTGCTCTTACAGTCCTCAAGGATCCTTGAGAAGCAAGACCTATGACTCTTGTGTACATTTGTCCTATAACATGTGATCCTTGCTTTACAGTTCAAGGAGAAGCAAGTCCTATGACTCTTGTGTACATTTGTCCTATAACATGTGATCCTTGCTTTACAGTTCAAGGAGAAGCAAGTCCTATGACTCTTGTGTACATTTGTCCTATAACATGTGATCCTTGCTTTACAGTTCAAGGAGAAGCAAGTCCTATGACTCTTGTGTACATTTGTCCTATAACATGTGATCCTTGCTTTACAGTTCAAGGAGAAGCAAGTCCTATGACTCTTGTGTACATTTGTCCTATAACATGTGATCCTTGCTTTACAGTTCAAGGAGAAGCAAGTCCTATGACTCTTGTGTACATTTGTCCTATAACATGTGATCCTTGCTTTACAGTTCAAGGAGAAGCAAGTCCTATGACTCTTGTGTACATTTGTCCTATAACATGTGATCCTTGCTTTACAGTTCAAGGAGAAGCAAGGGAACCGATGCTGGGACACTGTGGGCCAGGGTGTGAATGGAGGTCCCATTGGGGTCTACTACTGTCATCACGGGGGCGGAAACCAGGTAGGAACACTCAAGCCTCTCCAGATAATTCAGATGTTGTGGGTGCAAGGAAGTATGAAAGGCTGTGATAACCTATGGTGTTGTGAGTTTCATATGGTATGAAACAAACAGCAATGAAAAGGGAGGATATAATTGCTGATAATTGAAAAGTTCAGTTTCATCAACATTTGAATGAAGTGTGCTTACTGCCACTTGATTTCTGACAACAAATTTAACTTGTTCAGTAAGCTTGCTGTTGAATTGGACAAATATTTCAACACAGTCTATCCTAAAATACCAGTATGTAATGCGTGTGTACTCATATTGTATATTGAGTGTGTAGGATTTCAACATTACTGAATTGCATTGTTGGAACCAAAGTATATTTTAGTGCCTGTGAATTTGCTCAAGATCGGGCAAGCTCTTATGTTGATAGTTTAAGGTGTCTGCATCCATGACTCTATCAATTTCATTAAGTGATAGCTAATCTTTTGCCTGTTTTTTCCCAGCTGTATCGCCTTAATGCCAAGGGTCAGATTGGGTATGGAGGCCGATGTATCGAGTCTCCAAATGGTGACACTCTCCACATTCATTACTGTGATGTACAGCCTACAGGACCATGGGACTATGGCCGAGGAGTAGGCCACTGTTTAGGGAGCATCAGCATTGGAGAACTGCTTCTTATAGATAATGAAACAATACTCAAACCAAGTCATTAAATGTTTCAATAGAGTTGTCACATCATGTATGAGAAGTTAAAAATGCCCATTTTTTTTATATGACTGTGTGTTAAATACACAAAATGCATCTTAGCTTATGATCATCTTAAGCTTATGTTAAGGTTCAGGAGTTATACTAGATCACTTATCTTAGCCGCCTAGCGATTCACAAAATATCAGCCGAGCATTATCATTGGAATGGAGTACTTCGTGACATGCTGCTTAGGATAAAGTTGATTCATACTAGTTTTCTGTACTTTTGATGGCATGTGGGTAAAAGCCTCTTCGGCTTCATCTCAAACACCTGAGTTCATTTCCCCATGGATGTAATGTGATGCCCATTTCTTCTGCCTCCTGATATTGCTGGAATAGTGCTAAAAGATCCGAATCCGATCTTGATAACACCCTTGAGAGGATTTGGTCTTCAGCAGCCATGCGCTGTCGTAAAGAGCTGACTCTAACAGGATGCAAGGTGGTCGGGCTTGCTGAATTGCTTCACACATGTCATTGTATCCCAGGTGGCATAGATTGATGCCTCATGCTGTTGGATCACTGGATCATTTGGCAGACTCCTCTGTTATATAGCTGGAATATTGCTGGAGTGTTATGTGAGGTGCTAAACAACAAACCAACCAAACCAAACTGGATCACACCACTGTACTGTTGACAGCTGGATCACCTTCTCCTTTCAGAACTCTTATGCCATTTAAAAATATCCTGGTCAGCAAATGTGTGTGGAGATCGGCAAAGATGAGAGGCTACATTTACAGCCATGTGACCCACTGCATCCAAGAATCAGCAGTTTATTGTCAATGAAATATTCCCTTGGAAGGACAAGAGGTGATCTGAACTTCGGGCGAGGGATTTTCCTGCTGTATATAGCCATCAATGGTGTTAGCCATCTGTCAGCTTTCATCTTCTCAGGAGAGGGGTATATCCACCATTAATAGGCATGCAACACTGTACCTTGAAAAGTCAAGAAGTTGCATGTAATAATAATAATAATAATAATGGACATTTCTAATGCCACGTGTGCATGCTTATAGTAGCTTATAATAAAACTTAGAAGAGGCCACTTTACAGCAAAAAGTACATTGCGGAGTTTGCTAAAGAAAATTACAATGTAATAGGTACTCTTGAAGAGATAGAGTTGTAGGCAGACCTGAAACTCATGCGACAGAATCAAAAAGAGAAGAGAATTATACAGACATGGAGAGAATCGCATTTTGACTTTACCTAGCGTCACTGAAATGAAGCACATACAACCCTGAAAATCTTCAGTCTCTATTACTTTGATACAAGATGGTGCCCTAAAGATATACATTCCACACACTTGGCTACCACATTTCGTCATGCATTTCTTTCTTTTTGACTGGCAGTTGTTAGTCATTATGTTCTTTATTATCCTATTAATTGATGGGCGTGAAGATCCTTTTTGACAAGCTTAGGCTTGCAGTAGGCAGGGATTTTCAAGGAATTTCTGTTGGAGCTACTCATTGGCAAACTGGGTAAGAGTTTTTATTTTGTTC